TCTGTTCAGATGCCTGTATGCTGTCAAGTCTGTTGAAGAATGTAGCTTCATCTCCCGTCTAACAGCCATGAGATTAAGAGTGTGATCGGAGAGTTTTTGTGTTCTTCTGCGGCGGGTCTTGCAGAACTTAGCTCCGACCGCATGGACAGTTTCCACGAGCTTGTCATTCATATCGTCCACTTCATTGCAGTCTTCTAGGCACTGAAAACGGTTTTGTAACTCGAGCTGAAAGGTTTCGGGACTTTGGATTAGAGCACGAGGGGGACGGAGCGTTGACTTCATTAGACGAGACCTCTCCAACTTAACGTTTAGGTTCAGTGTGCCTCTAACCATTCGGTGATCGCTACCAGTTTTCACCCTTGCGATCACGGAGACATCACTGAACAGTTGTCGTCTGGTCGTCATAATGAAGTCAATCTCATTTTTTGTCGAACCGTCGGGGCTCGACCAGGTCCACTTCCTGTGGGGCCGCTTCTGGAAGAAAGAGTTCATCATAAAGAGTCCCTCTTTCTCCATGAAGTCGGCCAGCTGCTGGCCCCTTGGGTTCCGTTGCCCTATTCCAAATTTCCCTACTTTCAGCTCACCGTTCTCTCTTGTGCCTAGTTTTGCATTGAAGTCTCCCATTAACACCGTATATTGGGTTTTGGAGGAATGCATGGCTCTAGAGATATCCTCATACATTTCCTCCACCTCCTGATCAGGGTGTGCCGAGGTTGGTGCGTAAACCTGTATGACCGTCAGCGAATACCGTTTGGTGATTCTGAGTATAAGGTACGCAACCCTCGTCGACACACTCCCGATCTTTACAACGTTGTTAACGAGAGACTTGTGGACGATAAATCCGACACCTCCTTGGGACAGATGGTCGCCCTCCCGGTGATAGAGCAAGTTGCCGGATTCGAGGATTACCGTGTCCTCCCCCTCTCTTCGGACTTCGGATAATCCTATAATATGCCAGCGCAACTTGTCTATCTCTTCTTCCAGCTCCACGATCTTCTCGTCAGTCCTCAGGGTGCGTGCGTTGTACGTTGCCAGGTCAGGAAAGTTTTCTTGCGATGTTTTAATTCACCGCCGAGCACGCGATAAACCTGCACTTAAAACTGCAATTAACAATTTCATTGGTGCCGGCGGGGCTCAAACCCGGGTTGCTTGCGTACTATAATATTTACGACGAGCGGTTAGCCCCTGAGCTACAATGGCTACTAATAAATTAAAAAAATAAAATAAAAACTACATTTATAAGAAAATTTAAATTATAATAAATTGATAAGAAATTTGGTTTTTTATGATGTCATTAGTTCATTCAAAAACAAAATGTTCACAGCCATCGTCGTCGTCGATGGCTGGTCGTCGTTCAATCATATGGCGACAAAAGCCGGACCTCTCTTCTTACTGCAAGCAGTCTCAGAATGGGGCGATACCAATCTTGCGAGATTCAACATCTCCAAAACCCAAGCGTGTCTTTTCACCGCTAAAAGGAGCCCGTTCTTCCTGGCTGCTATTTTCTGCTGGATTTATCTTTGGAGTACACTGACCGGTTACATTTTTAGGTGTTTGAATTTTTTATGAACTTTTTTTTAATTTAAGGTTTCCTTTCTACCAGAAGGTCGGCGGTACATCATCGCTTCGTTTTTGACTTTCCATCCTTTGAACCCAACGGTTTCCTACATTGCGTACAGCGTGGGAGGGGAAAAATCTGCCGACGTATGGTAGTGGAATAATCTGACCTCCGATTACAAGTTGAATGTCTTCAAGGCAAGAGTGAAAAGGCTTTTGTGTCGCTAAATCAGTTCGATTAACCATCTAGGATTTATAACCAGAGGGGATTGTACTACACTGCCCAATGGATTAGTAAGCTGTGGTGGCAATGAGCTGGCCATATAGTTCGGAGAACAGACAAACGTCCCGAAGAAAGGTTCTCGAGTGGCAGTCTCGTAGAAGCGAAGTGTGGGGCATGCCCCCACTAGATGGAGTGACGACCTGGTAAGACATGAAGGTAGTCAATGGATGCAGGTGGCTCGGGACGGTGCTTTGTGGCGTTCCCTGGGGGAGGCCTATGTTCAGCAGTGGACTTGTGAAGGGCTGTAGTGGCGATGGTGATAGTGATGACTGGCTTATAATAAGGAAAAAATATTAAATATTATTCAAAGCTTCGATACTGTACTATTTATATATTTATTTTAGGGTAGTTAGTTTTAAGAATCGGATTACGGCAAGTGTCAAGTACTTACATCATTGTGCTATGTTGTTCTCTCTCGAATTAAACCGCTAAGCTGAACAGACGTGTGTTATTTTGCTCCAGTAATAATATATATGTGCGGTGGTTGAATCTCCGTTAAACACAACAGATACCAACCAAATTATTCATACCGAAGCTAACATTTTGTTATATGAATTATTTTAAAAATACATTATTTTACATATTTCAATATCGAAAACCAAGACATACACTTGCTTTTTTTAAAACTGTTAAAACAATTTATAGAATAATATCTTTGATTTTTTGCTTACAAGAGCTGGTCAGGATGTTTAACATATTGCAAATATCTACGTAGAAATTCAGTAAAATATCGGATTTCCCCCGAATAATACTCGTAATAACGTATGCGCTAAAATTATTTTAATTAAATATCTCGTACTCGTAACATATCAAATTTAAAAACGATCATTATAGACAGCATCCAATTGTATATAATATTATTGTTGTTATATTTTTTGTCCCTAAATAATAATTAATAACAGAAATAAATAAAATAAAAAGGTTTTAACTTTGTGTTTTTTCTACGGAGAAAATATTATTCTTTAAATGATAAGTTACAGCACTTAAAATGATAATGAGTTATCCTTTCTTTGTTTCAGTTTAAAAATTAATTTACTAAAGTACTAAAGACAATTTTAATTTGCGTGCATTTGCTTTCTGCGCATTCTTAAGTAGTAAAATGTGGAAGGCCATTAAATAATATTTTTGATGTTAAAGGCAATATTAATATAAAAAGACGAGATGGTGTAATGGATTCTGTAACTCTGATGCTATAGCGTAAACTTATAGTTACTCGCAATTGTTTATTAATAAATTAATTAACTATTCATTGCTATGCGGATGACAGCACTGGTGATGCTCTATACACCGGCCGTGCCAATATTTCTCGGGAAAACGTCGCTGAGTACCGGAACAAACTTGTGTCTGAAGTCGAGTCTTTGCTGAACAAAGTCTCGGATTGGGGGCGACTAAATCTAGTCCAATTTAATCCTCAGAAGACACAAGTTTGCGCGTTTACCGCTAAAAAGAACCCCTTTGTCGTATCTCCTCAGTTTCAAGGCACTCCCCTTCTTGCCTCAGCCAGTATCGGTATCCTCGGAGTCGACATATCGAGTGACGTGCAGTTTCATGGTCACTTGGAAGGGAAGGCCAAATTGGCCTCTAAAAAGCTTGGCGTGCTCAGCAGAGCGGGACAGTATTTCATGCCGGCACACCGCCTGCTACTTTACAAGGCGCAAGTTCGGCCTCACATGGAATACTGTTCCCATCTCTGGGCAGGGGCTCCCCAGTGCCAGCTCCTTCCACTTGACCGCATCCAACGCAGAGCGGCTCGAATTGTCGACGACCGAGCCCTTTCCGATCGGCTCGATTCATTGGCACTGCGAAGAGATGTTGCATCCCTTTGCATTTTCTTTCGCATCTACCATGGGGAGTGCTCTGAGGAATTGTTCGGATTAATCCCAGCCGCCAAATTTCACGAACGCACGTCGCGGCAGAACTCCCGATACCATCCACACCATCTGGATGATTGGCGGTCCACCACTGTGCGATTTAGAAGATGTTTTCTTCCTCGCACGACCTCCTTGTGGAATCGATTACCATCAGCGATTTTTCCGGACCGATACGACTTAGGGACCTTCAAGAAAAGAGCGTACTCCTTTTTAAAAGGCCGGCAACGCATCTGCGATTCCCCTGGTGTTGCAGTTGTTCATGGGCGGCGGTAGTCACTTACCATCAGGTGAGCCGCATGCTCGTTTGCCCCCTCTCCTATAAAAAAAATATTAACATACACAAATATGTACATATTTAAGATCTCACGTCTATCATCCACAGATTTAGGCATGGACTGCGGGTTTGCATTTGGCACGATGCAGGTACATGATGTGAAAGAAGCGAGAGAAATGTGTCAGTGCAGGTGCACTTATACCAAAGAAATTCATGTATAAACCAGTACTGAATAACAATATAAATATAAAAAATATGAAAAAGATAGATAATAATATAAAAAATTGGCTGCCGAAAAGGCAGATGTTTTTACTTTATTTAAATTGAAATAAAAAAAGTATTCACGGCGCGCTTCACGTTCACAAAACCTTTTATTTCGCAGACTTGCAAGTTACCTCGCGCGCCTCCCGATGTTTTCTATCACCACCAAGTACGTAGAAAACCAGTACTTAAAATTACAATTAACAGTTTCATTAGCTAGAGTCAGAGCCGCCCGCCTACTAGAAAACATTTCGACATCGTTAATCCTACCAATCGTGCGGATTATGACATATTTTTCCTCCAATGGATGGGCACCATTTCACGCTGTGGACTACAGTGAGCTGGTGAAGAAGAAAGAGCATGAAGTGTTCTTATGCACTAAGGCACGCTTTGATTAGTTTTAGTATTTTGATAGTATAAAAATAAAATTAGATGGCAAAAAACCTAAAGTATGTTTAAATTAAAATTTTATATTTATAGTAATATTTTTTGCTGTTTTAAGCCTTTACTCACGCCATCGTCAGCTTCATTAAAACACATTAGTTTCACCGACTTTTAAAAATGCACACTCCTAATGTATAAATTACTATATACCTATGTATAATGGTTGGCAGCCATAGACAGTAGTAGGAATGTATTATAAGCACCAGATGTAAGTCGTGGCAACTTCTATGCCGCAAGAGTTTCTGGCTGTAAATTCCGTCGAACACTCTCTATTCAGATTTTAAACTAGATCGTATTAGTCTTTGCTCACCTTACTCCTCTTTTCGGTCCGCATCGTAACTCGGACGCCATCCGTCGAAACGTCCACGGTGACTTTTCGTTTTTTCACACCCTTCGCCTTAAACTCGTACTAGAAAAAATAAAAAAAATAATTAATAAACATGGTTTGAAATATAAAAAGGTAAAAAAGTGGCCAGTACACCCTACCGCAGGCTTTTGTTTTAGAAATTTATTGTATTCATTTGTACAATATGAACCAAAATTTATTTTGTTATTTAACTGTTTACCGTATATTGGCACTGTAAGGATATTCAGTAGCTCATATCATCTCGTGGGTGTCGTAAGATGAGAAACAGCGTCTTCTTTATAACAATTAGAAATTACGAGTAAAATTGCGGTTGCTAACTCGTTATTCCCCTGTTGAGTCAATCCAAGTGAAGGCCTATGTTCAGCAGTGGACTTTAATAGGCTGTATTGGATATTTTATCTGGTTTGTATACAAATCATGTAACAATAAAAAATTCAATAACTTCTTAACACCGCGCTGCTTTGCTTGGGTTTCCTTTTATATTCGAGGTGATTACGGATCGGCAATGTGATTGTGTAACTCTGGTGAGAGTCGTCGTTAGCTTCGTTTTGCTTATTGACGTTTTTTATAGAACAGGGGTGACAAACGAGCACACAGTCCACTTCATGGTAAGTGAATGCCGAGGCCCATCAGCATCTGCATTTATCCTGGATTCAGATTCAAAATGCAGATGCGTTCTCAACCCTAAGGATAAAGATGGAATGCCTCGTTTCCAGTAAAAGGGGCCTCCAGTTCATTTGTCATCCGAATTTGAGCTATATTCAAAAATTTCAAGATTCCAACTCATCGGGAAATTGATTCAAAATCAATTACTAAATTCCACCCAGAACGACGGACAAACAAGAAAGTGTAAGTCACTTTCTTGTTTGTCTGTCGTTCTGGGTGGAATTTAATAAAAACGTGGTAAAAAAAAATTGAAACTAAATATATGAAATTCATAACTCCTAATGATGTACTGTATGTACTAATGTAATTTTAAACGGGGAGGAACTGAGTCTTGTAAATTGTGGTATCGCAATTTAAGTAATTTTAATTTTTAGTCGATGACAAATATTTATTAATTAACTTTGGCCATTTACGACATTGTACACAAACATTATGTACATAAAACAATAATAGTTAAAAAAATAGATATTCATTGTGTAAATACCAGGAACAGACGCAAGTTAGTAGTACCAGTTACTTGACTCCAACGAGTCAGTAATAAAGATAGGTTAAGGTAAACATTTATATAATAGCGCCATCTACTGGGTCCAGTTGTGAACCTGAATGATCCAAGGACCCACTTAACACACAAAAAATTTCATCAAAATCGGTCCAGCCGTTCTCAAGTGATGATCTTTCAAATATGCGGCAATTGATTTTATATAATACTAGCGAGCAAGGCAGACTTTGTTCTGCCTTTAGCGGCGAACCTGTGTACTATAAAAAAATATTGAGTGTCACTTATCAGGATAAAAGCTATCCTATCTCCCAAGTTGGACCAAACTGCACATAGTGTGCAAAATTTCATTGAAATCAGTTCAATAGTTTAGAAGTTCATCGCGGACAAACAACGTGACACGTAATTTTTATATATAAAGATAGATAAACTTAAGCCAATTAGCATTAAAATAACATTAAGCTACGCTCAAAACAAAACGTCAGTATAGCCGGGAGTTTTGGCGGGAAATTGACTGGCGGCGGCTTGCTGCTCCTGTATTATTGCTTAAATAATGGTTTGAAGTGGACTTTGATATGTAAAAGTGGTGCGATTTTGTATATTAAGTGTCTGCGCATGTGAACTATTAGTGGAAACGGTGAAACAAGTGCTCTGATGGTGATGTGATTCTCAAAATAAGGTGTCTGTCTGCTTAGGCGCCTTGAGATACCATTGCCAACCGTCAGCTGTCTGCTGGCTCAAGTTGCCGTCAAAATCTCCCAAGGGCTGCACAATGTGATGCATCAACATATTGTGAAGCAGAGTACTATGAAAGATAATTATACATTATAACTTCAGACCCTAAAGGGCTAGAACCCAGAGTCGTAAAGCCAGTTATATTAAAAAAAAATCAGTATAGCCGGCTAATCATAAGTTTATTATTTACACTAACATTAGCCGTAACTTATGCCTTCAGTCTACTTCATTATGTTTGCCTTTAGTATCGAGCACGCGATACAATAACAATTAAAATTGCGATTAATTTTTTTATTAACACCGTGATCATGAGTCGAAATCTGATTCTGTGTACCATAAAAACTTTGTCAGCACCTACTTAATACTTAATTGGATAATAAATAGTGCTATTGTCTGTTTTTTTAATGTGTAGTACTATATGTAAAACATTTTCCTTAAGTGCCAAAAAGAACATATATTAATATTATAATTTCTTAAATAACGGTAAACTTGGCATTGGACACACAAGAGGACTTTCATGTGGCACAAATTGTATTAACAACATATTATACGGTACAGCTCTTTGTAAATGACTTGTAAATATAATTGTTTGGATATTTTTTTACAGATCAGATAAAATATCTACGTATTTAAATAAAAAAATAATATGATATTGAAATAACAACTATAATTATTGAAAACTAATGTGAGTTTGCGATAATTATAGTTCTAAAGTAATGTATATAATAAATTAAGGTGTTGTGGCGGTGTGAGAAAATCCACTAACCCAATCTATCGTCCCTTGGGTGTCGTAAGAAGCGAAAGAGAGTATTAAGTCAGGAGATTAGCAGCCGCGTCTTCTTAACGACGACTAAGAACTTTAAAAAAAAACTACAGTTAGTTGTCAGCTTGCCACTAGCACAACGTGCCACAAGCGGCAACTATCGCAAATATTCCGGCAATCTATAGGGGAGGTCTATGCACTTTAATAGACTGTATCGTAATATATAATATATATTTTAATTTTGTAGTAAAAGTTCTCTTCAAAGAATTAAAAAGAATAAATAAATTTTACATTCTGTAGTCGATGCTAAGACCTCAGAATAGGAAATAATTTTATTATTTTTGCGTGCACTATCCTCGTCACCACTAATCCCAGCACCACTATACAATTAAAAAATAGATCTCAACATTAGTGGTGACGGGGATAATGCAAGTAATTGATGGACGGCGGGAGGTACTCTTCAAACTAGAGAGATGTCATTTTATTTTATCGAGCGGAGGAACGAAAGGTAATTTTACCAACTATAATATAATGGATTTCCACAAAGCAACGCGTGATTCTATTTATTATCTTCTTAGTTATTTAAAGTCAGCATTAACTTTTTATAAAAAGTTATTTGAACAAAGTTCCTTATCGCTCGGTATGAATTTGACGAATGGAGGCTAAGAGAGAAAAAGTGTAAGATTTTTCCGTCACGATCCCCTTTCTATAGTGCAAGCGAGATGGATTAATATCCATCTCACTCGCACTTTTACTTATCTTGCCATGAAAGAAATATTATTTTAGATGATGCTTCATTTTAATAGACTCTAGTAATTCATGTATTTGTATCTGTTAATCAATAATATAATACGTTTATCAATAACAATATTCTAAGAAAGGAACTTCGTTCTAACCGAGTATTCCACGACACACATGCATGTTTTTTTCACCTTTTTGGGTGGACTAATGAATATTATAATGTCAATGACATCTAAATAGTTCTGTCTAAAATTTCATCTCTCTTGTCGCCACCTTTAGGGGTTAATATTAATAGTTTTCATAAAATATGGCTTGCCCTTTTGTCAGCCAAACTGTTAATATTTGAAATGTTTTGGAGAGGGTAAAACCTCTTCAAATCTCCTCTCTAACATAGTTACCATAAACCACGGTGATAAGTCATCTGCATCGATCGAATCTAAGCTTAGAGCTATGCAGTAAGATTCCGGTGGGGATCGCCCCACAACTGCGTTGGTTTTGATTAAGATGACACTTTGTAAACTTTACTAAGATAATTATTAATAAAATAAAAAAGATATTGATTTAAAAATAATACTTAATTCACGCGAAATCAGCGTCAAGCGTCAAAACAACGTCAATCGTACAACCTACATCGTACAGCACGTCCATACTTAATATGTATGTTAAAAATGAATACTCTCAGAGCACGTCACTCAAAATCTCAAAATGGTGTTCGTGGTAACGAACGTTCTCTGCGGGACTGCCGCTAGAGAGTTCTTCAACCCTGTGATGATATCTGTCAAGATATTTGACACGATTATTATCACATTGTTTAATTCTTTTTTTTATTTATATATTCTTTTATTTATTTATGTATATTAAGTTTCATATATTTAGAGAACCGAAGATCCTTTCAGGCGAGACATTCCAACCGAGTCCCCAGGGGTGACAACGCATCTGTATTTTAATTCTTAATCGAGAATATACGTTGATACCATTGGGTCACAGTATCCACTTACTTATACATATAATCACGTCGACTGTGTGCTTGTGTCTCACCCTTATTCGATATAAAAATGTTACATTACATTTCATGTAGTGACGCTATAAGTAAGTCGTGAAATAATTGGTTCTATATTATTACCAGACGGTGTACATTTTGAGGAGAATCTGATCAAGAGCGTTTTTTCAACCAATATTCTTTTAAGTTTAGACGTATAATGGAGCAAACGAGACGCTTTTAGTTCAATGCATAAATTGTGTAAGACCGTCCTTATTAAATTCAAAATAGACTTGCAAATGTTCCACTTTGAAGACGCTCTTTCATCTCATTAATTTTAAAGTTGAAAATTTTCAATGTCTATATACGTAGTTAGGTTTCACTTTAGATGATTGTGGTGATAATAGGATAGATATGAATCTATAATATATATTATAAATAAGCCTTTGGTTGCTAAACAAATTATCATTTTTGGTGCCTAAAGAGACCAATGCGAGAAAGACATGTTTTACCACAGATATTAACTTGTCTTTAAGTCGGCTATGTCTTTTAACTAGTGCCGCAGCACAGGCAACATCGCAAAACGTGCGCCCTGCACTACGCGTTTGTGCTATTACTTCCGATTCTCCGCAAGATTCTCTCAATTTCGGTAGTCAATTTAT